GAGTTTGGAGTTAAGTTGGTAAATTTCATACCTTATTACGCTCAATCTAATGGACAGGCCAAATCTTCTAATAAGATACTTAAGCGAGTTTGGCATGAATGTTTTTAAATAAAGCCTTATGGGCTTATATGACGTCACCACGCTCAAGTACCAAAGTAACTTATTCTTAACTTACTTATGGGCAAGATATTGTATTGCCTATGGAGATAAATGTGCAGTCGATCAGAGTCGGTTTGCAAAATCATTTAAGTGATGGTAAGTGTGCAGAATCATTAGCCCAAAATTTATTGGAATTGAGCGAGTTAAAGTTGGACGTCCTAGATAGATTGGGGATTCAAAAATGAAAAATGGCTAAATTCTATAACAAAAAAGTTATAGCCAAATCTTTTAGCTTGGGCAATTTGGTTTGGAAAGCAATACTCCCTTTAGATTGCAAAGATCTAAAGTATGGTAAATGGTCACCCAATTGAAAAGGACCATATAAAGTGAAAAATGTGTTACCCTATAGAGCTTACCATTTAGAAGATCTAGATGATACGAAGCGTATAAGGTTTATTAATGGTAAATATTTAAAGAAATATGTTCCTTCCATATGGTAAAGTGAACGATGAGATGCATAAATAAATAATCTTGTTAAGCGATTATAACCAAATAAAATAAGAACGAAGTATACTCCAATAAAATCTTTTATTATCAAATATTCTTTACAAACTAAGGAGTGCAAAAATACAAATAAGCTGCTGTTAGAAGCATGCTATTACGGTTCTTCTATCAACTACTAGAAAAATGGTGAACTGGCTTTGGCCGCATTCCTAAATGCATTGATGCAATGGCTGGCAAATGGTCTGAGAAGCACTCTCAACAAGCAATTGAATTCTGAGAAGACCTTCATTGACCAAAGAATATTTCTTATATCTCCCATACGAAAGTCCATATCAAGGCAGATGGTGAAACAGGGAAAAGATCAAATGATCCATTTCCATTGAAAGAGGAAGTAGTTGATCAATCATTTGAATGTCAAATGACGGCAAGCAAACTGGTTTGGTAGAGAATAAAGATGAAGATGACAAAGGTGTAATATATACGCATTTATAGAAGTGTGAAGGCGAAAAGACGAAATGCGAATGGACACATACATGTGTGGTAATCGAAATTGAGGGTCCAAATTCTATAGAGAAAGGTAAGAATACCGAAGGTTTAATTCCGTTTTACAAGGAGAAAGCCATCACATAAGTCAATGAAATGGTCATTCTATTAACGAATTTAATTATGATTACATTATAGCCACTAATGGCTGCCATAAAAAGAACCAATGTCAGACGTAATCGTCCTACAAGAATGTTCAAAGTATAATTACAACTTGTTCCAAGCAGAACGCATTCGTTCTCTAAGCTCCTCCAATTCGTTACGCTGCTTCGTCGGAAGCGGTGCATACTTCAGTCGTAATCCCCTCATCAACTTCCAGCTTTGTGTAATGCTCAACCAAAGACCTGGTTCGCTCAAATTCTTG